TTAATACATATAGGGAAAAAGATTATAAGGTTAAAAAATGTTTTACAAAATCGTTTATCAGAAACAAAGCAATGAAAGTTATTTTGCATCGTAAAACAGGCATTTCTCTCTTTAATCCAGTTAATTTTCAGATATGTCACCATAGAGAAACAACATATTTTGCAAACTATGTTGATGGTACATGTACATGATCTGAGGATGGATGTCAATGTAAGCTACAAATACAACGTGTTACCATTGCAACTAGTATAAAATATAACATGGTGTTAAGTATTACTAATGCACCACAGTTCAATGTTGCCATAACAACCACTCTAAACCTATATGTGTGTGGAGGGGGTCTAATTACCTTATGCAGTCTTTCATCATTGAATGTGTAATACAAGACCATTGGTGCACTGGCCACAGACGCTGCCATCCACTGTAACAGCGATTTTAATTGGACATCACCTCCAAATGCACCACATCCCCAATTACCAGTTGCGATTGGCCTTCTACCATTCAAGTCAGGGTAACCAACCATATCATCATTAGTGGCTAATCTTATACCGTCCTCTTTGATGCTAGTAATGTCATGGTTACAAGGAATGACCTCGCATGAACCATTCTGCAACACTGAAGTATTGTTCTTGATATCAACCAAAGCACAATCCAGAATTCCGTCAATCCACTCTCCTACAAGTCTATCTAATGTTAATGTGTCCTCCATAGCTGCAACTTTTTTCTCCTGTCTGACTTCATCTTCATCATCTTCATCGTTGTCATGGTATTTTACTGCATCCCCATTAGATAGATCTGATTGAACTCCTAAGACTGTTATCATTAATTTTTTCGACATATCATCAGCGAACTGCACAGCAAGGGGAGGATTTTCAGTAACCATGGTTACATCATCATTGCCAGTAACTGTACCGTTATCGATATCGCGACAAGTCCATGGCATTCCAAATAAAGACACAAAAGTATCTGATATGACCTCATTAGCTAAATTATTTGCTAATGACGGAATATTGGTAATTTTACTTGACACCGAAGACACCGATTCAGTTATGCTTTCAGATATGCTGCCTCGTTTTGACATGCTGCTACGTTTATTTTGTGACACCGCCGTTGACTTGTTAAGTTCCTCAGAGAAGGTAGCCAGGACAGAGTCTTTGAATGTAACAGATCCTTTCCTATTGGTTGGGAACTCATTGCCACATGACGTCATGCTGTTTGCCAGTTCCTCGGCAAAACCAGCAATGTTTTCTTCCGTTTGGCTTCTCCGTTTCCCTTGCAAGTCAATATCACCGATCTTCAGTAAGTCCTCAATCACACTATCAAAACTAGATCTTTTCGAACTGCTTCGAGTGGACACATGATAGCTGCCTCGCCTGGCAACACTCTTATTCACTCTCCCGTGTATCTTCAGAATGGCCTCAGATACGATACCCTCTGCCATATTGTTTGCAAAATTACTCACTCGACTCGCGTGAAATTGTCTGTGTTTTGACTCAGTGTCCAACACCTCAAGTGAATGAGATAATTCATTGGAGAAACGACGATAGCTTGCATCATTGTCGTCGTCATCGTTAAATTTGATAACATGATTGGGATCAGCCGGGGTCGGTGGAGGAGTGCTGGGTGTTGAGGTGACACTATTCATCATCTGCATAGGTTGCTCCAATGATAATGACAGACTGCTCTTACGGAAGACTTTGAATTCAGAACTAAGTTCTTGGAAGACGCGCTGTATCATTGAATCCGCTATTGAATGTGCAGCGTTCAATTCCTGATAATATAATAAAGTTGCATTGTCACCTGGCATTGTGTTACTGTTCACAGTCGGAACGGTAACATCATCGTTCTCAGACACTCCTTTATCTACTTTCAATTCACTGCTGTGATCAAGTTCTGATTTCACATATAGTTCCCTCAAAGTGTTGGTAAGGATGCTCTTAGCCTCAACACTGGCGTAATCATCGATATTTGCAATTTTTATGTCATCAGTAGCCACGGCATCTTGAAAGGTGTTCTCGTATAGCTTGTTTACATACTCTACAATTATCGGGTCTGATTCTTCGGTCTGGTCTAATTGTTGTTCAGACTCTTCAACAATTTTTTTTGTCTGTCGCTCTGGTGTTATTTTCCTCGCGATCGGTTTCGTCAAGACGTGTAGTGGTTCTGGAGCATCGAATTTCTGAATTCCTGGCGTCATAGAAGCAGCTTGTTGATACCCGGCTTTTGTAACTTGCTCAGCAATATTACCAGCAAATTCCTTTATGTGAATCAGAGCCGCTGGTATATCGTCCTCGGTAATAGAACAACGAATATATCGCAGCTCTTCTTCCACAGAACCAAGTCGGCCACGGTTCTCCATGTATTCTTCCAGCTCTGAACTGACTTCAGAACTACCCTTTCTACTACCATATCTCTGAACTTGATCCGATGAGCTTCTCCTAAATTGTTCTATCCATCCTCGGTCAGAATCGAGATCCGAGATATCATCGTCCTCATTGTTGTTGTTGGAGCCACCTTGCCAACCTGATGATTCAGTTCTGAACAACTGCACAGCGTCTTTGATGCCGACATCAATAATAGCTTTACTGAGCGAGTTACTAAAACTGACCACAGACACAGTATCTGTAAAGGAATGCGATATATTATTAATATTATTATTATTATTATTATTATGTGTTTTCTATATTTCAATAGAAATGTTATTTGTGTTATACATGAATTGAATCTAACTGTTACAGCATTTGCAAGATATCTGGGACATCAATTAGATCACAAATGTGGACGATGACGATGAACAATCACTCATATGATAAGCTCTGCTCGACAACAGTGGAGCTAAAAATTGTAAATTTTGTGAAGGGTTTTAAAGTTGACTTTGACATAAAAAAATTAAAGCTTAGCTTAGTATTATCACAACATCAAGAAAGCAAATAGCATGAAAACCACTATTTGAAATAATTAAAGCATTTCTGCACAAAGCATTCATTTTCATTACCATTTGTAAAAATAAAATTCCTGTGTAACAAATATACTCTTGCGTAGTATTCCTCATTTTATTGTAGACGAAACAGTAATTTACACAGGTCAATAACAGGTACCAGAATTTGATTGTTTGGTTTACACCAGAGACAAAACATATCAAATTGTGTGAATAAGATTATTACATGTTGTGTATTAACAAATACTTTCAACACAACAAACCTATTCCTTCATTTCAATAGATATTCATAAATTTTGATGACTATAGAATCCAACAGCCAATCACAAGTGAAGTGTCATTTATTATTGATGACGTCATGTGAAAACATTCCAATGGTTTTTCATCAGCCAATAAAAACTTCTTGTGTTAGTTTGAACTACGAAATTTCTAAAGATTTATAAAAATGAATGGAATGGGTTTGTTGTGTTGATAGTAACATTTCCTTGACTCACCATCTTCATCAAGACTTTCTGGAGCAGTTTCAAAGTCACTGTCAACTGAGCTCGCTGATTGGACACAGCTGAAAAACTCGTCCCCATCCTCCAGACTTTGCCCAATCACAGACTTTGTCTTAAATGATTCTGGTAGAGTGAATCCAACCAGAGCTTTATTCAAGTCTCTCAGTATATTCACATCTTTGTACTGAGCTTGTGGCTTTCTTTTGTAAGAGACAGCATCGATTGAGGAAATCATCGTCTCTAATCGACCATTTTCCCACTGAAAGGAAAACAGAGATAACAAAAAAACTGTGACAAGGCTGTGAAAGCCACAGCTGGTGAGATAAACACTAATATAATAAAAATCAAATTAATGAAATAAAGAGTCGTGAAGTATGCATGCCAAGCACAATGCATGTCAATAAATGTATTTCATCTTTTACCGATAAAGCGCATCTCCAAAATCAGTGCATAAGAGCTGATAACAGATATAAAAAAGCGCATCAGCAAAGTGAAATATTAAACATCTTTCAATTGTCTGAATTGTTTATTTCCAGAAAAAATAATTCTAATTTGTGAATAGAGTGAAAACAATAGTGGAAAAGTAGGCAGCAAAGTCTATATGGAAGACAAAATGGAGTTTACACATTGCACATCATTCGACATTGTTCGAAAAACGAGTATTGTATCTCAAGACACTCATTGGCCGATATATCATTCAACCTTTACACCACCAAGACAGTACGTAATGTCTTACATGTGCACATATATGTAAAGTAAATTAATGATAAGTTTTGGACATAAAATTTGATATTTCTATTACTCAAACGTGTCCAGAGATGTTTCTCAGAAATGACAAGGAACATTTGTGATCAAAGTTGTTATGATGATCATTGCGGCCAAACATTTTGCCAAATTTAAAAGGAAAAATTTGTTAGCCAAATTAATGCATATCATGCATGTGCCAATGGCAATAAAAAAAAAATCTCTGCCCATATGAATGACTTTTTTTAATGAACGCAGTTTTACTGAGAAAATATGACATCTGTTGTTGAGGTAATACTCTTTCATAAGCACTGTGGCAATTCAACTTTATATCCCGCTGTCACTCATCAGGCTTTGTTAAATTATATGCACCTGCGTTCCTTACATAAGGAGTTTTCTAAGCCATAAATACAATATGCTTTCAAATGACTATCGTACAATGAGCTCATTTATAAATTACACCTGCCAAGTCAACTCATATTCAGTCACGATTTCAGCATCACTTGCATTCTGCATAAAATCACAATATTTTCGTGAAAAACGTGTTTCTAGTAAATTTGCGATCTTCAATGAATCGTGCCATCATCAATAATCAACAGAGAATGTCACCACCACTGAGCCAGAAAGAGTGATGATTTGATTGGTCAAGGCACCCTTTATTCAATCTATTTGACCAATGAACATTGACGTATGTTGTTTTTTGTTTGCCTGTTTGCATTTATAAGACAGCATTTTCGAGGTCTGAAAATTGTTGTTTATTAACAAATTGGTTGCAAATAAAAAAAAAATGAAAAAAAAGTTGAATTCTACTCAAGAGTTAAACTCTGCAAAGCTCCCATGTGAAGACAGAATATACATTGTTGTTTCATAAAAAAAAAAAAAAAAACATCTAGGAAATGAAAATTCCCCAAAGTCAGTGAAAGAGGAGTGGCATTAGAGGCTAACATCAGCAATGTACAGCACAGAAGTACACTGATGACCAAACATGTATATTTCCATTAGAAACTTATAGCCCAACATTTAATTATGCCCAAATTTGGACAAAGTTCACATTTACATGCTTAAATTTAACAATTTGGTAGAAATCCATTCCATATGGTTCTAAATTTGTAGTTATTAAACGGGGTATCAAAAGCTGCACAAGTCAAATAGCCATCAGTCAATTGATACATGCATAGCAAATTGGTTAAAATTCACTGAATAGATGTCAAAATTGTCCGTATATTGTAAAATCATTTATTTTCACTGACATTTAATTTCATACTTTTGATGATTTGAGCATATTCACTGTGTTTTAATTTCACGAATTTGTGAATTAATGAATTTACAGTATCATTTACAAGGAAGACCAAGTTCAGAGAAACAGTCAAGTGCATCAGGACATACATAAAGTAAACATTTGGTTGTTTTTTGAATTAGGTACTTTAATACAACAAAATGCAGAAAAATGTACCAAACATTTAATCCATCAAAAGATCACTGTACAGGTTTCTGTACATGTACAGAGTAAAGTCTGTATGAATTGGTTCAGAGATTACAGATGCAGGTAAGGATGAGAATATTTGTTATTTCAAAGTAGAGGGGGGGGGGGGGTCATTGATCGTGGGTTAATAGTGAGAGTAAATTAAATGGTTGTATTTTTGCGTACATACTGGTAGTATGCACTGTGTTTAATTTTTTGCGTGTGATGT